CGGGGGCGGAGCTTATGGGGAGGAGCACGTGGGGTGGAGCCCATGGGCTGGGCTGGGCTGGTTCTCGCTGATGGGACCCGTTTCTCTTGCCCTGGGTTAGAGGTAGGCACGGCGTGTTTGGGGTCAGGGGAGGGAGGGTGTCCAGCGGACCAATCTGTGTCCAGTCCCCCCACCCCACTCCCCTAGGAGGAAATGCAAATGAATAAGTCGCTGCATGTGCCAGAGTCTTAAAAACGTTGATTTTTTTCCCCTTGGAAGCCCCTGTAGTCGATGAATGGTTTTCCTTTACGAGTGTTTTCCAAAATGGTCAGTTCTTGGAACAGCGGAAGCCCCAAACTGCTCAGAACAGCGCGCAGACCTCTTGCCTCTCTCCTCCCAAAACGTGCCCGCGGTTCCTCAGTAATCCCTGAGCACCCCCAGCTCCCCGGTTCCCTGCTGCGCCCTCCAGGAGCCCCAATTCCACGTAAGGCAGGGTCGCCCTCGTGTCCCGCTGTGGCTCCGGCGTCCCTCCCCCGTCAGATTCCTACTTAGAGGACCTACGGGGCACGGAGTCGTATCTGGGGACAAACGCCGGCTGGGGGTGCGTTCTCAGGGGACATTGTCTCAAGGACAGGAGGAGGCCTCCCTGGGCAGGTGTGGACGGGGGCCCCGGGCCTACCCCGAAGGGAAGCATCTCTCACGCTGGCCCTTGTGTCCCCGCAGCCGAGTGGCAGGTGGCGGAGGCCACAGCGCTGGTGCACACGCTGGACGGCTGGTCCGTGGTGCAGACAATGGTCGTATCCACCAAATCACCGGACAGGAAGCTCGTCTTCGGCAAAGGAAACTTCCAACACCTGACAGGTGGGTCCGTCCACACCTGCTCCTTCCCCACACCTCCTTTCCTGTCCTCTGCTGCCCAGAACATTCGAGCCAGACGCACTGAAAGACGGGGATCTCGCTGGGCCAGGGGGGGAAACGGCCTCTTGGGCTGCCCAGGTGAGCCGGGAGCACACACCAGTAAGAGTCGGAGGACGCTGAGGCTGCACCTGTGTTGAGACTCACACCCGGCCCTGGAGAGATTTAAACTGATAAAGGTTAGGTCGGGGCGGTTTATAGAGTCCAACAAACAGGGTGGGCAGTGGACCGGCTGTAACCGCACCTGCCCCTGCAGCCCCCACAGCCAAATCCTCCTGCTGGGTGGCTCCCCACGCAGTCTGTAAGGCTGGGGTCCTGCACGGGATCCTTGCGCTTCCCAGGTTTTTGAGCATCCGGCTTACAGTGCAGAGTGGGGAAGATGCTACTCACTTGCCCAGGTGGGGGGTCCGCGTCCCTGGGTCTCTTGCCAACATGGGGGTCCGCTTCCCTGGGTCACTTGCCCAGGTGGGGGTCCGCGTCCGTGCCTGACTCAGATGCATGTCATCCCGGCCGGGATGTGTTCACCACGTCTCTGTGTGTGTCCCGACCAGAATGTGTTCACCATCTGTGTGTCTGTCCACACTGGGATGTGTCCACTGTGCATGTGTGTCTGTGTGTGTGTCCCTGTCGGGATGTGTCACACTGTGTGTGTGTGTGTGTGTCTGTGTGTTCCACCGGCTGTGTCCACCGTGCATGTGTGTGTCTGTGTGTCCTGGTCAGAATGTGCTCACCGTGTGTGCGTGTCTGTCCATCAGGATGTGTTTACTGCGTGTGTCTCTGTGTATGTGTGTGTGTCAGTGTCTGCCCTGTTGGGATGTGTTTACTGTGTGTGTGTCTCTATGTGTGTGTGTGTGTGTCTGTGTCTGTCCCTGTTGGCATGTGTTTACTGTGTGTGTGTCTGTGTGTCAGTGTCTGTGTGTCTCTGTCCCTGTTGGGATGTGTTTACTGTGTGTGTGTCTCTGTGTGTGTCTGTGTGTGTCTGTCTGTCTGTGTGTGTGTCAGTGTCTGTCCCTGTTGGGATGTGTTTACTGTGTGTGTCTCTGTGTGTGTGTGTGTCTGTGTCTGTCCCTGTTGGCTGTCCCTGTTAGGGTGTGTTTACTGTGTGTGTCTGTGTGTCTGTGTGTCTGTCTGTCCCTGTTGGGATGTGTTTACTGTGTGTGTCTCTGTGTGTGTGTGTGTCTGTGTCTGTCCCTGTTGGGATGTGTTTACTGTGTGTGTGTGTCTCTGTGTGTGTCTGTCTGTCTGTGTGTGTGTCAGTGTCTGTCCCTGTTGGGATGTGTTTACTGTGTGTGTGTCTCTATGTGTGTGTCTGTCTGTGTGTCTGTGTCTGTCCCTGTTAGGGTGTGTTTACTGTGTGTGTCTGTGTGTCTGTGTGTCTGTCTGTCCCTGTTGGGATGTGTTTACTGTGTGTGTGTCCCTGCCGGGATGTCTTCACCGTCTGCATGTGTGTGTGTGTGAGACACACAGCCCTAGAGGGACACCCACCGTGTCCCACACCGACTTCCTGGATCCTGGGTCCCGTGCTCACGAAGTCGCGGACGCCTGTGACCTGGGCACTCCAAAGGGCATCGTGGGCTGATCCCACAGTCCAGGGGCCTGGACGGCCGGCCTCTGACGGGACCCCCTCTTTCTGTTAGAAAAGATCCGAGGGTCTCGGGACATCACGTGCGTCTTCCTGAACGTGGAGAGGATGGCAGCCCCGACCAAGGTACCACAGAACGTGGCTGGCTGTGTGTGTCCCGTATTCCGTGTGATGAAGGAGTGGACGCCAGAGCGTCCCGCCGGGCGGGGGACCGATGGCGACACGGTGGAGTTAATGACAGACGTCCTCCTTCCTCTGCGGTTGGCCACCAGCGCCTGGCCTTCCCCTGTGGCTCCTCAGTTGCTCTCTCCTTTTGTAGAAAGAACTGGAAGCCGCCTGGGGCGTGGAGGTGTTTGACCGCTTCACAGTCGTCCTGCACATTTTCCGGTGCAACGCCCGCACGAAGGAGGCCCGGCTTCAGGTGGCCCTGGCGGAGATCCCGCTGCACAGGTATCGTGACGGGGTACCCGGGCCCCTCCGTTCTGTACACTCACCTGTAGGCCGTTCTGGGGGTACGTGAGGAAGAAAAGCACCGTTTGGGGCCGGGTGCGGTGGCTCATGCTCGTCATCCCAGCACTTTCGGAGGCCGAGACGGGCAGATCACAAGGTCAGGAGATCGAGACCATCCTGGCTAACACGGTGAAACCCCGTCTCTACTAAAAAATACAAAAAACTAGCGGGGCGCAGTGGCGGGCGCCTGTAGTCCCAGCTACTCGGGAGGCTGAGGCAGGAGAATGGCGGGAACCCGAGAGGCGGAGCTTGCAGTGAGCCCAGATTGCGCCACTGCACTCCAGCCTGGGCGACAGAGCGAGACTCCGTCTCAAAAAAAAAGAAAAGCACCGTGGGGTCACTGTGTCCGGGGCCTGATGGGCTGGCTTTTTCCCGAACCGCCCACCCCCAGCTCCCGGCGAGGTAGGTCCCCTCGGCCTGGGACACACGTCACTCAGTGTCTGAGCTACACCCAGCGCCAACCCCTCCCTTCCGCCCGGAGGCCCCAGCTCAGTGCCCCCTTCACCTTCGCCTCGACCTCTGCTGGGAGGGAGACGGCGTCCGCAGAGAGCGAGGGGGTCCCGTTCCCACGCCAGGTCGAACCTGAAACGGGACGTCGCCCACCTGCACCGGGGAGCCGGCTCGCGCTACATCATGGGGTCAGGTAACTCGGCCGCGTCCCGGGGCGTCCTGGGAATGGGGTCGTCCGTCCGCGGCAGCCACCCTCAGCCCTGGAAGATGCCGACAGGGTGGGGGCCGGCTGGGGGCTCGTGTCCTGGTGGCATTTGAGGAGATAGGAGATGACGGTGGTTCTTTGAGGTTGTGCCCAAATAGGGTGTCACAAACCGGGGATTTAAACGGCAGAAACCTATGATCTCCCTTCCTGGAGACCAGAAGTCTGAGATCAAGGTGAGGACAGGGCCCCGCTCCCTCCAGAGGCTCCTTCTGCCTCTCCCAGCTCCCGGGGGCTCCCAGCGTCCCTGGGCTTGTGGCCGCATCACTCCAGTCTCTGTCTCCGTCTCCACGTGGCCTCCTCCTCTGTGTCTGTGTCTGCTCTTCTGTCTCTTAGAAGGACACCTGCCATTGCATTCAGGGCCCACCCTACTCCAGGATGATCTCATCTCAAGATTCTTAACTAATTACATCTGCAAAGACCCTCTTTCCAAATAAGGTCTCATTCAGAAGTTATGGAGAACATGTATTTTAGGGATCAATATTCAATGCCTGACAGTTGTATCCAGTCCCTTCTGAAAGCTCTAGGGGAGGCTCCTTCCTGCCTCTCCCAGCTCCCGGGGGCTCCCAGCGTCCCTGGGCTTGTGGCCGCATCACTCCAGTCTCTGCCTCTTAGAAGGACACAGGTCGTTGCCTTAGGGCCCACCCTAACCTTGGATGGTCTCTTGAGATCCTACAAAGAGCATATTTCCAAATCAGGTCCCATCCCAGGTTCTGGGACTTCGGATGTGAAGGGGCGTCCCTGAGCCCCACTCCCAGTGACGTCCCGGGCCGGGCCCCGGTCGGAGGCCTCCGTAGTGCTCAGGCCTTGCCTTTCTCCCCGAGTCACGGGAAGCCCTCGTCGGCCTCACAGGGTGGACGCCCGGAGGCGAGATCCCGTTCCGCCGAGCAGAGCCCTTTGTCATGGAAGGGGGCAGCGTCGGGGCCGCTGCTGGGGAAGGCGGCCGGGCCCCCAGATGCCGGAGCGGGAGCAGGCCCCGGGCCCTCGCGGACCCTCGGCGGCACCCCCCGCCCTTGTGTGGCTCACACCTCCCCGTCTTGGCTGCTTTTAGGAGAGTCCTTCATGCAGGTGCAGCAGCGTCTCCTGAGAGAGAAGGAGGCCAAGATCCGGAAGGCCCTGGACAGGCTTCGTAAGAAGAGGCACCTGCTCCGGCAGCAGCGGACGAGGCGGGAGTTCCCCGTGGTCTCCGTGGTGGGGTACACCAACTGCGGTGAGCACCCCAGGGAGGAAGATAGGAGATGACGGTGGTTCTTTGAGGTTGTGCCCAAATAGGGTGTCACAAACCGGGGATTTAAACGGCAGAAACGTATGCTCTCCCTTCCTGGAGACCAGAATTCTGAGATCAAGGTGAGGACAGGGCCGCGCTCCCTCCAGAGGATCCTTCCTGCCTCTCCCAGCTCCCGGGGGCTCCCAGCGTCCCTGGGCTTGTGGCCGCATCACTCCAGTCTCTGCCTCCGTCTCCATGTGGCCTCCTCCTCTGTGTCTGTGTCTCCTCTTCTGTCTCTTAGAAGGACACCTGTCATTGCATTTAGGGCCCAGCCTAATCCAGGATCATCTCATTTCTAGATCCTTCACTTAGGACAAACACCCTATTTCCAAATAAGGTCCCATTCACTAGTTCTGGGAATTGGGATGTGGACAGAGCTTTTAGGACGACCACAGTTCCGTCCACTACAATTGTATTCAGTACCCTCCAGAGGGTCTAGGGGAGGATCCTTCCTGCCTCTCCCAGCTCCCGGGGGCTCCCGGCGTCCCTGGGCTTGTGGCCGCATCACTCCAGTCTCTGCCTCTTAGAAGGACACAGGTCGTTGCCTTAGGGCCCACCCTAACCTTGGATGGTCTCTTGAGATCCTACAAAGAGCATATTTCCAAATCAGGTCCCATCCCAGGTTCTGGGACTTCGGATGTGAAGGGGCGTCCCTGAGCCCCACTCCCAGTGACGTCCCGGGCCGGGCCCCGGTCGGAGGCCTCCGTAGTGCTCAGGCCTTGCCTTTCTCCCCGAGTCACGGGAAGCCCTCGTCGGCCTCACAGGGTGGACGCCCGGAGGCGAGATCCCGTTCCGCCGAGCAGAGCCCTTTGTCATGGAAGGGGGCAGCGTCGGGGCCGCTGCTGGGGAAGGCGGCCGGGCCCCCAGATGCCGGAGCGGGAGCAGGCCCCGGGCCCTCGCGGACCCTCGGCGGCACCCCCCGCCCTTGTGTGGCTCACACCTCCCCGTCTTGGCTGCTTTTAGGAGAGTCCTTCATGCAGGTGCAGCAGCGTCTCCTGAGAGAGAAGGAGGCCAAGATCCGGAAGGCCCTGGACAGGCTTCGTAAGAAGAGGCACCTGCTCCGGCAGCAGCGGACGAGGCGGGAGTTCCCCGTGGTCTCCGTGGTGGGGTACACCAACTGCGGTGAGCACCCCAGGGAGGACTCGCCCAGGGAGGGGGTCCCCGGTGTCCGCGTGGGGTGCACCAGCTGCCGCGAGAACTTGCCCAGGAGAGGGGCGCCCCATGGTCTCTCTGGGGTTCACCAGGGCTATGGTGAGGACGCCGTCTACCCCGTCCTCCTATCCAGAGCTTTACCACCTCGTCTACACCACAGGCTTCCCTCCGTCTACACCGTCCTCCTGTCTACACCATCAGCACTGCCCCATCTATACCACCACCATCTACATAGTCCACCTGTCTACACCAATGTTCCCTTCGTCTACACCATCCTCCTGTCTACACCATCACCACTGCCCCGTCTGTACCACCACCCCGTCTACACAGTCTACCCGTCTACACCACAGCGTTCCCTTCATCTACCCCGTCCCACTATCCAGAGCATTACCACCCCGTCTACACCACAAGCTTCCCTCCGTCTACACCATCCTCCTGTCTACACAGTCACCACTGCCCCGTCTATACCACCACCGTCTACACAGTCCACCTGTCCACACCACAATGTTCCCTTCATCTACACCGTTCTCCTGTCTACACCGTCACCACTGCCCCGTCTGTACCACCACCCCGTCTACACAGTCTACCCGTCTACACCACAGCGTCCACTTCGTCTACACCATCCTCCTGTCTACACCATCACCACTGCCCCGTCGTCTATACCACTATCCTGTCTACGCAATCTGCCCGTGTACACCACAATGTTCCCTTCGTCTACACCATCCTCCTGTCTACACCATCACCTCCCCTCTGTCTACACCATTCTGCTGTCTACACCATCACCCCTGCCCCGTCTATACCACCACCCCGTCTACACAGTCCACCCGTCTACACCACAGCATCCCCTTCCGTCTACACCATCCTCCCAGCCACAGCAGCACCACCCCCTCTCTACCATCCCACCATCTACGCCATTGCCAGATCTACCCAGACGACCCCACTCCCATCCACGCCTTCTCACACACACCGTCTGCACCGCCAGCTGCCCTGTGTCCACACCGCGGCCCTGCTGCGTCGGCCTGAGAGCGGCGACGGTGGCTTCGTCCCACGCGTCGTGTCCGGCCCGGGGGTGCCCGAGGGGCTCGGGGACCGTGCAGCCCGGGGTGCGGCCACCCAGCAGGGTGCCGTGGTCTCCATTCGGAGGGCCCGGGTGCCGCGTCAGGGCTGGGACACGAGGGTGTCTGCAGCGCCCTGACCTCCACGCCCTCCTAGGGAAGACCACGCTGATCAAGGCGCTGACGGGCGACGCTGCCATCCGGCCGCGGGACCAGCTGTTTGCCACGCTGGACGTCACGGCCCACGCGGGCGCGCTGCCCTCACGCATGACCGTCCTGTACGTGGACACCATCGGCTTCCTCTCCCAGCTGCCGCACGGCCTCATCGAGTCCTTCTCCGCCACCCTGGAAGACATGGCTCACTCGGTGAGTGCGGGAACGCCAGGGGCCGGGCGCTCGGACACCCAGTCAGCCAGGGGCCGGGCGCTCGGACACCCACTCGGCCCAGGGGCCGGGCGCTCGGACACCCACTCGGCCCAGGGCCCGGGCGCTCGGACACCCAGTCAGCCAGGGGCCGGGTGCTCAGATACCCAGTCAGCCAGGGGCCGGGCGCTCAGATACCCAGTCAGCCGGGGCGGGGCGCTCAGATACCCAGTCAGCCGGGGCGGGGCGCTCAGATACCCACTCGGCCCAGGGGCCGGGCGCTCAGACACCCAGTCAGCCAGGGGCCGGGCGCTCGGACACCCACACAGCTAAGGGCTGGGCACTCGGACACCCAGTCAGCCAGGGGCCGGGCGCTCAGACACCCACACAGCTAAGGGCTTTGGGCACTCCGGAGCACCCAGTCAAGCCAGGGGCCGGCGCTCAGACACCCCACTCGCCCAGGGGCCGGCGCTCGGACACCCAACGACAGCGAAGGGCTGGCGTCATCGGAAACACAACCAAGGGGACCGACGCATCGGACACCCACAGA